AAACAAAACACATGGTCCAAGTCTTGTTTTTTCCAATCATGCACCACGAGGGTAGGAATTTTTTTTATACTGTGCACGTACTGTAATTACACTAATTACACACTCAAGACTTTTTTTAAACACTAATTTTACAGGTAGATATATCTTGCCTCATTTCATTTCACAGCCCAACACTGGCTACCATATACTACCACACATTACCTGGAGTTTACCTGGAGAGAGTTCGAGGTCAATGCCCCAGCGGCCCGGTCTGTGACCAGGCCTCGTGGTGGATCAGGGCCTGAGCAACCAGGCTGTTACTGCTGGCTGCACGCAATCCAACGTATGAACCACAGCCCAGCTGGTCAGGTACCAACTTTAGGTGCTTGTCCAGTGCCTGCTTGAAGACAGCCAGGGATCTATTGGTAATCCCCTTTATGTATGCTAGGAGGCAGTTCAACAGTCTTGGGCCCCTGACACTTATTGTGTTGTCTCTTAACGTGCTAGTTACACCCCTGCTTTTCATTGGAGGGATGTTGCATCGTCTGCCGAGTCTTGCTTTTGTAGGGAGTGATTTTTCATGTGCAAGATCGGTACTAGTCCATCTAGGATTTTCCAGGTGTATATAATCATGTATCTCTCCCGCCTGCATTCCAGGGAGTACAGGTTCAGGAACTTCAAGCGCTCCTAGTAATTGAGGTACTTTATATCCGTTATGCGTGCCGTGAAAGTTCTCTGTACATTTTCTAGGTAGGCAATTTCACCTGCCTTGAAAGGTGCTGTTAGTGTGCAGCAATATTTCAGCCTAGATAGAACAAGCAACCTGAAGTGTGGCATCATGGGCTTGGAATCCCTAGTTTTGAAGGTTCTCATTATCCATCATGTCATTTTTCTAGCAGATACGATTGATACAGTGTTATGGTCCTTGAAGGCGAGATCCTCCGACACGATCACTCCCAGGTCTTTGACGTTAGTTTCTCGCTCTATTGTGTGGTTGGAATTTGTTTCATACTCTGAAGAAGTTTTAATTTCCTCATGTTTACCATATCAGAGTAATTGAAATATCTCATCGTTGAACTTCACATTGTTTTCTGCAGCCCATTGAAAGATTTGGTTGATGTCCGCCTGGACCTTGCAGTGTCTGCAATGGAAGACACTATCATGCAGATTCGGGTGTCATCTGCAAAGGAAGACATGGTGCTGTGGCTTACATCCTTGTCTATGTCGGATATGAGGATGAGAAACAAGATGAGAGAGAGTACTGTGCCTTTGCGGAACAGAGCTTTTTCACCATAGCTTGCCTCAAACTTTACTCTGTTGACTACTACTATTGTGTTCTATTTGTCAGGAAATTATAGATCCATCTACCAACTTTTCTTGTTATTCCTTTAGCACGCATTTTGTGCGCTATTACGCCATGGTCACACTTGTTGAAGGCTTTTGCAAAGTCTGTGTATATTACTTCTGCATTCTTTTTGTCTTCCAGTACACCTAGGACCTTGTTGTAGTGATCCAGTAGTTGGGACAGACAGGAGTGACCTGCTCTAAACCCATGTTGCCCCCGGGTTTTGTAACTGATGGGTATCTAGATGGGTAGAAATCTGCTTCTAGGACCCTTTCAAAGATTTTTATGATATGGGATGTTAGTGGCTATCGGGCTGTAGTTCTTTGCTATTGTTTTACTGCCCCCTTTGTGGAGTGGGGCTATGTCTTGTTTTTAGTAACTGGGATGACCCCAGTGTCCATGCTCCCTCTCCATAGGATGTTAAAAGCACGTGATGGGGATTTTTGGAGTTTCTTGATGAACACAGAGTTCCTAGAGTCTGACCCTGGGGCAGAGTGCATGGGCATGTCATTTAATGCCTGTTCAAAGTCATTTGGCGTCAGCATAACATCAGACAGGCTTGTGTTTACCAAATTCTGTGGCCCCTCTCATAAAAATTCATTTAGATCTCTGACTCTCAGTCTGGTTAGCGGCTTGCTAAAAACCGAGTCATACTGGAACTTGAGTAGCTCACTCATTTCCTTGCTGTCATCTGTGTAGGAACCATCTTGTTTAAGTAGGGGCCCAATACCGGATGTTGTTTCTCGACTTTGATTTGGCATAAGAAAAGAAATACTTCTGGTTTCCTTCGATTTCATTTATAGCTTTTTGTTCTTTTCCCTGATTCCTGACTCCTATAAGATTCCTTAAGCTTTAGTTCAATGTTTGCTATTTCTCTGGCCAGTGTCTCCCTACGCATTGCAGATATATTGGCCTCTTTTAGCCACCCTGTATTCTTTTCCGTCGCCTGTCTCTTTCTATTTTACATCTACTCCTCCGTTTTCCTTAAAGGAATATGCCTTGAGCATACATCAAGTGCCAGAGTTAATCTGTTCTAGGCATAAGTTGGGGGTCTGTGTTGCTTAGGCTATCTTCACAGCTTATATCATTTAGACTTGGTTTACTTGGTCCCACTTTATGTTCTTGTTATTGAAGTTGAATTTGGGGAAGGGTCCCTCGTGACCGATCTCATTTTGTTGTATGGGGCTCCGCGCATGCATGTCTGAACCTCGATTATGTTGTGATCCGAGTATATTGTTTTTGATATGGTGACATTTCGTATCAGATCATCATTGTTAGTGAAGATGAGGTCCAGTGTATTCTCCAATCTAGTAGGCTCTATTATTTGCTGGTTTAAGGGGAAATTTGTGCAGAGATTTAAAAGCTCGTGTGTGAGAATTCTCATCTGAGCTGCCTCCTGGTGTTATCACTGCAATAACATTATTTGCTATATTCCTCCATTTTAGGTGCCTTAAGTTGAAATCCCCCAGGAGCAAGGTGTTGGGGGCAAGAGTTGGAAGATTTTCCAGACAGTGGTCAATTTTCAACAGCTGTTCCTGGAACTGTTGGGATGTTGCATCCGGGGGCTTGTAAACTACCACAATGAGTAGATTTTTGGGTCTCGATCTATGCCGTTAAAGCTTCAACTACATCATTTGAGGCATTTAGCAGCTCTGTCCAAATAAGTGACTCTGCGATATACAGACCAACCTCCCCCAATTTTGCCTGTTTCACTCTGTTGCATCTGTAAAGGTTGTAACCTGGGATCCATATTTCGTTGTCCAAGTGATCCTTTATGTGGGTCTCTGTGAAAGCTGCGAACATTGCATTTGCCTCTGCAAGCAGCCCACGAATGAAAGGTATTTTGTTGTTCATTGCTGGCTTTAGACCCTGTATATTTGCAAAGAAGAATGTCATCGGATTGGTGGTATTGGTAGTACTGGAGGGGACTTTTTTTCCCAGTACTAATATCTGTAGCTGTTGGTTTGGAGTGGAGGCCATCAACGAGTCCACTCCAGAAATGGTGACGATTTCTGCCATTTCCTGCCAGTTTTTTTTTTCCTTCCTGGCACTAAGAAACCTCCACCTCTTAAGTGGCTGTGGCTACCCAGGTTTTCCCATGGCCTGGATGTTTTGTATCTTTTTGTCCCCTTTAGATGGTGTGCCTGGCAATGTAAGTTATAGCACTGTCTTTCCTGTACTGAAGAGGGACACATTTCAGGGTGAAAAAGCTTACAGGACAGGAGGTTGCATTTTCCTGCTGTCATATGGGCACGGCATTTTCTAGGGTGGTCAAAGTTGCACGTCCCATCTGTTTTTCCAGATATCCCATGCCTGCAGAAACCAAATCCATAATATTTGCACAGGCTTGGTTTCTGTTTGCCTTGGATTTTTGTGACTGTATTCAGTTGGTGCATGTTTTCCTGTCTCATTTCTATCTTCACTAGTACTAACAATGGAGCTCTCACCAGTTGTTTCTGGTAATTTATCTTCACTATTACTAGTGGAGTTTCCTTGTTTGCTATCTCCTGTGGTATTACTAGTTTGTAATATTGGTTTTATCTTGTCCTTGACCACACTTGTTTCCCCACTACAGCTCCTGTCTCCATTGAGGCCATTAATACGCATTTCTCCATGCATGCAGTTACTGTCTACCAGGACAGCACCTCCAGCCTCACAGTAACTGTCTACCAGGGCAACACCTCGAGCCTTACAGTTCCTGACTACCTGGCCAGCACCTCCAGTCATACAGTCATGCATCAATCATTAAAAGGAACTGTACCTAATGTGTGTGTCAAGGATTGGACCCAGACCCTTCAATTAAAAAGTAGAAGGCACTACCACCATTCAACAAGCCCTTCATAATTCTACAGTAGTTACATTTGTTAGTGATAAGGAATAAAGAGTGAAAGGAAAACAAAAAAAAAAAAGATGTAGTGCCTCAAAAAAAAAAAAAAAAAGGGGGGGGGGGGGCAAGCACTAACACGACTTCAGTAGGATCCACCATATATAAAGCTATTACAGTATAAGATATTCCTATGCCTTATTACAGTACAGCAGTCCCCCCCAAATCTGCAGGTGATACGTTACAAGACCTACCACAAGTGCTCGAAACCATGGACAGTAGCAAACCCTATATACAAGTCGTTTTTTGTTTACATACATTTTTTTTTTTTTTTTTTTTTTTTTTTTTTTCCAACAAGTCGGCCGTCTCCCACCGAGGCAGGGTGACCCAAAAAAGAAAGAAAACCCCCAAAAAGAAAATACTTTCATCATCATTCAACACTTTCACCACATTCACACATTATCACTGCTTTTGCAGAGGTGCTCAGAATACAACATTTTAGAAGCATATATGTATAAAGATACACAACATATCCCTCCAAACTGCCAATATCTCAAACCCCTCCTTTAAAGTGCAGGCATTGTACTTCCCATTTCCAGGACTCAAGTCCGACTATATGAAAATAACATACATACCTATGATAAAGCCTAGGTAGTAGGTTGGTAGACAGCAACCGCCCAGGGAGGTACTACCGTCCTGCCAAGTGAGTGTAAAACGAAAGCCTGTAATTGTTTTACATGATGGTAGGATTGCTGGTGTCCTTTTTTCTGTCTCATGAACATGCAAGATTTCAGGTACGTCTTGCTACTTCTACTTACACTTAGGTCACACTACACATACATGTACAAGCACATATATACACACCCCTCTGGGTTTTCTTCTATTTTCTTTCTAGTTCTTATTCTTGTTTATTTCCTCTTATCTCCATGGGGAAGTGGAACAGAATTCTTCCTCCGTAAGCCATGCGTGTTGTAAGAGGCGACTAAAATGCCGGGAGCAAGGGGCTAGTAACCTCTTCTCCTGTATATATTACTAAATGTAAAAGGAGAAACTTTAGTTTTTCCTTTTGGGCCACCCCGCCTCGGTGGAATACAGCCGGTGTGTTGAAAGAAGAAAGACCTATGATAAAGTTTAATTGATAAATTATGCATAATAAGACATTATGATACCAATGGCTGGGGATCGTCGATAGTGGACATGGTTTGTTTTACAACTTTCTGGAAAAACATCATGATAGAAAATTGTTTTTTCTTTCTTTCTTTTCAGCTCATCAAACATTGCTGGAGAAGTTCTAATGCTTCGGTGATTTTACGGGTGACTTTAATTCTGCCGTCCATCATAGGTTCGTAATCTGTGGTTTTATTTCTAGAATTTTCCATATGATATTTTTAGGCTGTGGTAAACTGCGGATAACTGAAACCGTAGAAACTGAATCCACTGATACAGGGCTTCTACTGTATTAACCCTTTCACTACCGAGAACCCTGCTTGCAAACTTGCTCACAGTGTCCAATTTAAAAACAAAAATCTCATGAAACGATAGAGAATCTACCCAATGGTAATGAAATCATGAGTACAAAATTTGATGGAAAACTTAGAAAATTATGCTCTTGCGAATTTAGCGGTCTTGGCAATATTTACGCACTGGCGATTTCGCCCACTGAGCCCTATTTTCAGCCAATTCCACTGTTCCAGTCGACCAAACTCATAGCTATTTTGCTAGAACTCCTTTTGTTCCATCAATTGAGTACAAGAAACTGCCCATTTACCTATTTCAATTCCCCAATAAAGTGATCACAAATTGGTAATTTGGCCAATTACATACAAAATTAAAGGAGAACCAATTTCAAAATAGGGTCCAGAATTAACAGTGCAAACATTCCTAGCACTAAAATAACATTTTCTCTGTTCATTAACCCTTTCAGGGTCCAGAGGCCAAATTTCAAAGTATGCACCAAGGTCCAAAAATTTTCCAAAAAAAATTTTGGTTATTTTTTCTTATGAAATGGTAGAGAATCTTATTCTGAAGGTAATAAAACAAAAAGTACGAAATTTGATGGAAAACTGACGAAATTATGCTCTCATGAATTTTGATGTGTCAGCAATATTTACGGATCGGTGATTTGCCGACTTTGACTCCCATTTTAGGCCAATTACATTATTCCAGTCGACCAAATTCTTAGCTATTTCATTAGTATTACTTCTATTCTATCGATTGAGCACAAGAAATCACTCATGTCAACTGTTTCAACTACAAAATAAAGTGATCGGAAAATGGAAATTTGGCCAATTTAATGAAAAGTTCAAAATATTCCAATTTCAAAATAGGGTCTAGAATAAACAATGCAGGCATTCCTGGCACTAAACTAACATTTCCTCTGTTCATTATTTATTTTTGAGGCTTTACAAATGAATTCCATTTTGAAATATTTACATAATGAACTTTTATTCAAACCAAAAAATAGAAGATTGACTGTTATGCAATACTGTAATAATTGTATAAATAATATCACCGCATTTGTGAACATATATTAGACCCACCAGCTGGTGTCTTAGACGTGCGAGGTCATTCGTTTATTCTTGAATATCGGCAAAAACTAAACATTTCCTCTAATTTGAGCTCAGTTTCAAGCCATTTCCAGTACTAAAACCAATCAAAATCATCTCCATTTCTGTAATACATCTTTCATTCTATCCAATGAGACCAAGAAATTGCAAATACAACTATATAAAACACACGTAAAAACACGGCAAAGTTGCTGTTTTAATTGAAAATTACGGTCTCAGTTTTTTCCCTCTCATTATGCACTGTGTGCTCCAGGATTTGTTATATGTGGTGCACACTTACCACATAGATGTATTCTCTCATATCTAGGCCCAAATTTACCTCTCACAGCTTATCAGAGTGAGCTCAGTTCATGGCGTAGATCTACGGTTTGGACCCTGAAAGGGTTAATCAAGTCTCCAGGCCCCTCTTATATTACGCTTGCTTTTCATTTTGAATTTTTATTCATACAAAAAATAGAATATTTACTGTTATGCAGACTACTGCATTATTGCAAAAATGGTATAATATCAGTGCATTTGTGAAAGCATATTAGACCCACCAGTTGATATATATTGGATGCATGGCATGATTTGTTTACTCTAACATTAGCAAAAATTTAACATTTCCACTACTTTGAGCTCAATTTCAAGGTTTTTAGTCTGTACACCATTCAAAATCATCTCTACTTCTGTAATATATCTTCCATTCTATCAAACGAGACCAAGAAAATGAGAAAACAATCAAACACCATATGAATATACCCCACAAAGTCACTGTTTTAAGCCAAACACCGTCTCAGTTTTTT